AGTCTCGCTGCCCAGGCGGGTCTCGAACCCGCGGGCTCAGGCAATCCACTCACCTCAGCCTCCCAAAGGCGCGGGATGACAGGCTGAGTCACTGAGCCCGGCTACTTGCATATTCTTAAGCATCCCAAGTTATTTCTAATAAACAGTAGCTTTGAATTATGACCAATGATTATTTTGTATTTGCATAAATGTAAGGGGTACAAACACAACTATGATACATGCGGTATACTACATAATGAAGAAGTATGGTGTTTCAGGTTTTCCAACACCTGAATGATGCACACTGTACCCACTAAGTAACTTCTCACACACACACTCCACCAGAGCATAGATTTCAAGCAACAACAGCAAAAGTTCTACATATGTTGCTTGATATATGTGACTGTGTGTGTGTGTGAGAGAGAGAGTATATAGAGAGACACAGACAATACATGTTCTATCAATGCAGCCGTGTGTGACATAACATGATAATGTCAGCTATAGACCACATATATACCACATACCATAGGATTATAATGGAGCAGAACGGTTTCTGTTGCCTGTGATATCATAGCTGTTGGGTTACAATTGCCTAGAGTATTCAGTATAGTCACATGCTGGACAGGTTGGTAGCCTAGGAGCAAAAGGTTACACCAGTACAGCCTCGGTGTGCAATAGGCTCTAGTGTCTAGGTTTATGATGGTGTTAGCACTATGACAAAATCACCTGACACATTTTCCAGAATTCATCCCAATCATTAAAGGATACAGGGTGGTATGTTGAAATGTACACACAGACACACAAACACACATATATACAAAAGATAACTGATGGTAACAAAGTTTGAGTCCAGCTACTATGTTTTATATTTCCAAAATACTTTGGAAGCATTAGCTTTTTAATTCTACTCTTTTTTTCAGAGCCCTGTTATATAAATTGATCCTTATTCAGTGAGCGTGAACATTTTGTATTTTGTTAGATATCCAGCCCACTCTTTTTTTGATACCTCAGCAGGTAGTTTGTTCTTAAAACCACAGTTTTCTGGTGTTGAAAACAATGGGAATAAACTCCCATTCCTTCTCAACTAATGAGAGCCAGGTGGGAAGAGAGGTGTATTTTTACACGTAATTTTGTTAGGATACAAGCACTAGGGAAGTACAACATTTTCCACTCAGCTGATATTGCATTTTACAAATATCAAATACTGCTCTTCTTTTCCACATCAGGTCACTCTTTCATAGTGGGAACCAAGAAAACAATATAAGGTAATGTGGAAGTTTGAGAGAGAAAGGAGAGGAAAGTAGTATAAACTAACATCTAAAATTACAGAGGCCACATAGGATGATGAAGCCAGAAGACAAGACTGTAGTCTAGAATATATGAGATAGAAAAAAATTCATCGTATCTTACTTTTGTTTCGACCGCTTAAAGTCTGGCTGTGGACTTAGGCCTGTATTTCTATTTATAAAAGAGTTGGTGAATGACACACGAATTCCAGATGCCAGACATTATCACGGCTCACCGAGGATGGTTGTGGAACTCCCAACTTGACTGATCTCAAGAAGGAACTCAATAATCAGTAGGATGGTTTAGATTTCCCCTTGACTAAAAAGTAGGTATTGTACCTGATGGTCTTCCATGAATCCTACTGATATCTCGTTTCCTAAACCTTACAAGTGGCCTGAGGACCCAAGGACCAAGAACAGGTTCTACTCAGCATTCATTAATCTTGGAAGTAAGTTACACCCTAAAGAGTCCAAGTTCAGTTTCTGAATCCCTAAATGTGTCCATATTCCAATATTTCATTGATGCGACGGGATAGCACTGAGAGGAAAGGACAAAACACTGCCATTTTTTTTCTCTTTTGAATAGAACATAGGTATATATGATTCATCCATTCATTCACTCATTTGTGATAGGATTATAAGAAGACACAGTCTTGCTTCTAAGAAATCCATTTTTTGACTGGTAATTGGGTATGAAACAGGTAAACAGACAAATGGCATACGAAATAACAAACCCAATGAGAACAAAAGTCCTGATGCCTAAGGAAGACCCTACGAAGGCATCCAGCCAGTTTAGGATGACTTCTCCAAGGATGAGACCTCAGGGAGATGATCTGGAGGACTCTTGGTGGTTGTCCAGGCAGATGGTGACAAAGGAAGAGGGCAGATAAGCCCACAGCAGAGGCCCTTGGGCTTGCACAGAGCCAGAGGTGAGAGCAGAGGACCACAGGGCTAGACGAAGAAAGAGAGCAGGTAGTGGGGGGCGGAAGAGAGAGAAGGACTTTAGGGCCTGGGTCATTCGTAGGAGCTCTATTGAAAAGTTGGGTTCTGAAATCATGTCCTTTGGAGCTGTGCCATGGATGGAGAAGCAGGAGAGCACCATCCTACGTGAACTAACCCAGAAACAGGAAAGCAAACACCACGTTTTCCCTTCTGTGCAGAAACTCAAGGGGCCACAAAGATGGAACTTAGACACCGGGGACCTAAAAGGGAGGAGGCAAAGAAGGGGGTGGAGTCCAGACGTTATCTGTTGAGTAGAACGTTCACAGTCTGGGGAACTGGGCCACCTGAAACCTAATCACCTGAAACACTGCCAAATATGCCCATGGAACAAATATGCAGGTCACCCCCGAAATCCAAAATAAGATACAGTAAAAAAAATCTGTAAAGCCTTCGTGCTAAGCAGGAAAGGACATAATGAGAGACGAACTTCGAAGGATGAGCCTTGCTACCGTGTGCAGACGGCAGGAGGAGGAAGGGACTGCTAGCAGAGAGATACTTGCACGAGTCCAAGAGAGGGAGGCGGGGGGAGGCCTGAGGTGGAGGACAGGCAGGACCGAGGCCGAGGAGGAGGAGCCGGACAAGGAGCCCTGTGGGTGAGGACAGATCCCAGAGCTGGGCTGAGCTCCCTGCAGGGTGAAGGTAGCTGTGTAGGAGGTGAGGCAGCACGTGTAGATGGGAGCTCTCCAGCTTCCAGCTGCTTCACCGGCCTGGTCTCTCCAGACAATCTCAGCCAGTCCAGGAGGGACACCTTCGAGGCCACGTCGCTAAGATGCAGTTGGAGGTGAGGGTGCGGGCAAGCCTCCTCATGCGAAGTATGAAGAAGACATTTAAACTGGAGGCGAATTCCTGGGCACACTCTCCCAGACTTCATTTTCCCACGACTAAACCATAACACAGAGCTTTTCAAAATACCAATCTATGGAAACGTTCCAAGGTTGGCGTTTTATTGTGTGATTTACATTGCTTCCCTATCATGTCAGCATGGGGCTAGTGAGAGCTCATTTCTCTGGGAACGTTGTTTACCGTGGTTTTATATTTGGTTTTACTTAGGCATATTTTATTGTATGGAAATAGTAAGGCTTTTAAAACAATGTATAGTACTGGTTTTTGTCTTTGAGGAGTTTACATAGTCTTGCATGTTTTTATATCAATTAATACAACAGTTGTAAGAAAACAACAAGAGGTAAAAAGTTCTCTGGTCACAGAAAGGAGACTTATTGAAAGAAATTAAGATATAAATCTTACATTATTGATTTACATTAATTCAAAACTGATTTACTTTAATTAAACTCTAAGAATATATGTTAGTATTCTCCCTAACCTCTGGCCCATGGACCCTTGTTGGAAATATTTATTTTATATAAATTTGCACTTTTTAAGTTATGTTTAATTATCCTTTCTTCAGAACTGTATACGACTTATAAAATTATGCAACTCGATCATTCTAAGATAACTCATCGTTATCCCTCTAACGATGCAATTCAATTTAAAAAAGGGTAGCTGAGGTTTTAATTTAGCATCTTCAGTCGTATGGCAAGTAAATGTAGAATTTTTGTTAAGCTTTTATGAGTCTAAATGTAGCTCAATAATGGTTTTAATAAAAATCACTTGAGAAGCCAAGGCTGAAGAAAGCCAAGCTGTGTATCTGATGATGTTCAACTAATAGAGAGATGCAGCCAGAACATCTCTGTTGGTCCTTACCCAGTGCAGAGAAAATTGCTGCAGCCCAGAACATTTCTCCCATGAGTGCAGGAATAAAAAGGAGACCACCCATGCGCTTTCCATAGATCTGCTGAAACGGGTCTAACATGGTCACATACCCCTTGGAACGCATGGGCTTTGCAAAGAACAGACCACCTAAAAGAAATTAAACAAGGATTTGTGAGAAAATAAAAAATTCAATGACATAATAGTCTTTGCCAATTTTTACTGTGCTATCACTCCTCAAGGGAAATGGATTTTTTTAGACACCTATATGTATGGAAGAACCAGTCTGAAATATTCTGTGAGTACAGTACCAAGGAACATTGAACACATTACTATACATCATTAATATACATACACTTAACATTGTATATTACTGGGTGGTATTGAGAACAACTGGATGGTATTGAGGCATGTTATTTGTACTGGCACCTTGCTCACTAAAGTGTCTTGATACATTTGCATCACCCAGCCCAGCATTTAGGCATTTTTAATTAGTTCAAAATCTGATATAAGCATTTTTAGTGCAAAAAAATTTGAGACGCTCTCTGTTATGTAATAATTTCAACCTTTTATTTGTTTGACTTACAAAAAGAAATTCAGGAACACTTCAAGCCGATTCATTTTTAATCATATATCTATACTCTCTTTGAAAAAACATAGAACATAATTATGCTAAGCAATTCACTATTCTGATAACCTCAGGATCATATATACATAGTCCAGAATCAAGAGTTCAAATAATCTATGCATTAGTGTTCTGCTACTTACCAATTTATGGCAACAGCTACTTAGAGATTTCTGGAGACATTTTCTTTCACAATAGTTACACTGTTTGACTTGTAATTCTACTTATTATTTATACACCCATTCTTCATGCTTTGCTGAATGAGTCACTAAAATTCACACGTTCACTTACCTAAAATCAGACTAAGAGAATATCCGATTGGCGCCTGAGCCCAAGCTAGCCCGTAATCTGGTACATAAACTGCTTCAGCTGTGCCGTTGATATACCCTCCTCCGACCCAGGTAGCTGAAATAGAATGAAAAGTGAGGGAAAGACCCTATCTCACCTTCACCCTATACCTGCCCGCTTGAGGCAATGGTTACTGGTCACATTTAGGTACTGGAGCTACCAAGTACCTAAAATACGGCTAGGACTGAGCTACTGTAGGAGCACCGTGTACACACTGGATTTCGAAGTCTTTTTTATTCTTTGTATTGACCACATGTTGAAAGGAAAAAACTTAATGTATTGAGTTAGATAAACTATATTGTTAACATGAATTCACCAATTTCTTATTATGTCTTTAAAAAAGGTTTTAACATTTGACATTAACATTTAACACTATGTTTGTGGCCCACACTATAGTTCTATTGAACAGCGCTGCCTAAAATGGTTTTTAAATGCGTTTACTCCTCTGCACTTTTTAACGACGTCACATATGATAAAGTCTGAGATCATACAAGATATACGAATATTTCTATTCTTAATAATTCTACAGCTTTCCCCCTGGCTCATAACATTGAATGAAATGTCTTTATTTCAAGGCTTTCCATTTTAATTGTATTAATATTTCTATATTGATCATGGCTATTGTTCTCTAGGAGTGGTGTGTATGTGTGTATATATGTGTGTGTAGGTGTATCTGTGTGTGTGTGTGCGAGTGTGCTTTTCATTAACGGAGTATTTTCTTAAACACTCCGGGGACCTAGGATCCAGCAAATCTGATCAGCATCACAACCCAGTTGTGCTCACTACCTTAAATTCTTAGGAGAGTAAGGGAGGAGTAAGATAGCACTTCTGCAAGGTGCCTGACGTCAGTTTAGGACAGTTCAGGGACACAGGAGAGTGTAAAGTATTGACTACATACACACTCACAACTGTTTATCCAATATAGGGCTTTTAGTAAAGTATTTAACATTTGATAAGGGAGACTAGGAAATGTTTTTTTCCCCAGATATATACAATTTCTGTAGCATAAAGGAAGCAAGACAAAGAACCAAAGAAAACAGTTTTCGGTTAAACAAGTTGGGCCAAGAATGATCTACAAACTACCATTTTTCTCTGTAAAGACAATATTTTATTCTTGCTGAAAAACTAAGGTTTAAGAGAACACAAAATCTTTTCAGTTTTTATCCTTTGAAGGCTATAGCATAGTCAAAACATTCAAAATGCTTTCAACCTATGTAAAATTATAAGGGTCATAGGTTGCTAATAAACTTATTAGATACGAGACTGAATTCTAGCTGTATCATCCATTTGGAATAAAATTTAACTGTGGTGAATTTGCTAAAATCTAACAGTTAGATGTAAGTAAGTGAAATAATATTTGCACAAAACTATCTAAGACGAGTGTTTCTGTTGTGTTTATGCCAGAATTTACCTGGCTTTTAAGTCAACACAATGCAAAGGAGAGAGAGTATCTTAGGGTTAATATCACTCTTTAAAAGTTTGACATAAAAACACTTCCCTGCATAGGAATTTTAAGGACATCTGAATGGAGCATTATATACAAAATTCTGAAGTAGACAAACAACATACATACCACTCCTACCTTCCCAGAAACTTCTATGGCCAGTGTTAATAACGAATGTCGTTTCCCCCCCCTCATTCTAAGTCCTGCTGAAATTTTTAAAAGGGCTTTTTTCCCACCAAGTGTGAAAAAAGGCTTGAAGAGATGAATTCTTGCAAGCAGAGAACCTAAGACTTTATATTTCTGCTACATGACTGGAACTGCTAACACATCAGCAATGTTTTACTGCCTACAGTAAATGGTCCAATGGTCTTACAAGAACACAGCTTATTAGGGATAATTTTTCATTGTGTGGGGCTCCTTACCTCCCCCTCAAAATTGGTGCCTGAGTGATTGCAACTATTATGATATAGAAGACTCAGTTATTTATTATGATTAACAAAGTCCCCTCATTTTTAATCAATCTAGTCTCCCCCATACCAGAATTTACTCTTCATGTGTTTATATTTTTTTGTTAAATTCATTTGTTAAATTTATTAGAACATGAACTCTTTTAAACTATATTCATTTTTAAAGAATCAGCATTTTCAAACTGTATTTTTATAGAATATTTGCAAGTCAATGAATCAGACAAGGTTAGACAATATGGTTCAGACTGTAAATGAATTATGATATTGACAAAGCTTCTTTTGAGTTCTGAGAAAGAGACAAAAAAAGCTCTAAAAAACGGAGCTAGACCATTACCCTTAAAAAGAAATAGCGTCATTCAAATATTTTCTGTGCACTTTAATAGCCTATCAGATTGAAAAACAATCATTTTAAATGGTAAAAACAAATTCAAAAATATTATTCTGACCATATTAAATAGAATACTAAACTAGCATAATAGAGCGCTAAAATAATTTGTGATGAAAAAATGTTTTGATACGTATCACCTCATCTATTCCTTTCAACTATGCACCCTTTATAAAGAAATAAAGTGAACTCAGGTAGAGGGCTGCACATGACACAGCACGGAAGCCCCGGCAGCCGTCAGGAGCTCTGGCTCCGGTGCTTGCTCACCTGTGACCCTGGATCTGAACCCAGAGCTCTGGCCAAGTGTCGCTATGAAGAGCAAATGAATCCACGTAAAGCTGGAGAACAGTCATGCAACCAGAAAACGAGAGTGACTGAACAGTGACATTTACAGTCCATAACGAACGTGGCAGTTTCAGGAGGGCTGCGAAGTCAAGGCATTCAGAGCATGCCTGGTGTCCTCCCAGACTGGCTTGGTACGCTATTTGATGTACCGGGTGAATCATTTCAAAATAGCACTTCAAGACGGAACTTGGGCATTGTTTGCATATAATCTCTAATGGAATATTTTTCCAGCGAACACGTGGAGTTCCTGTTAGTTATGGATTCTATTGCTAATGTTTAAAAACCCACTCAGACTCTGAAATGCAATATATGTTATTGGTGAAAGTGTATCAAATATTAAAGAAATAATTTTAAGCTTGTTCTTTCGATTGCTTTCATTTACCAAGAATAGTATAAAACAGAAACTGGCTACCCTTTAATCAGAACCACTTCAGGGCAAAGGAGAAGAGAATATCAGCCCCTCCTGACACAGCAAAAGCCCGAATGACAGAGCTGCCAGTGGGGTCTGAGAGTCCTGGGAGGACACACCCTAGCCTTTTCCTTTTATGCCAGGCTCCACGGAAATCTCCTTTTTACTGTTGTGGAGACATAACATATGGCCGTCTTCCTGTGAGAAATTAGTTACGAAATGGGAGAATTGGGTTTCAGAACAGGGCATCAGTCAGTGTGCAATTGTACTGCCCCCAAATTTATCTCTTCAGGTTAAAAACCCTCACTAGTTCGGATTCCTTGACACGCATCATTGAAGACAACTCAAAGCCACCACTTTATGCATTCACTAGTAGACACTCATTAGCAGATACACAACTTGCAACACGAGATCACTTTCCCATTTCTCCACCTCTCTGTTTTTACCCTGTTCCCACCCCTTCAAAGGCCAAAGATCCCAGATTTGTTTCATTGGTATTCGGTCCGGCAATTCATTCTAAAGTCATTTTGTTCAAGTACCACTGAGCTGAGCCACTTTATTTTTAAGTTTGAAAGAGAGATGAAATGATTTGAAAAACACATAACTAGTGGACATACAGAATCCCCCAAGGACAAAGGGGGGATTCTGTCGCCCCGAAAGAAGCTTCGGCTTTGTCACCCTGAAGCCACACGTACGTGGGAAGGACAGACTGCCCAGCGGGCGGCCCTGCACCTACCGGTCATGGTAAATCCACCCACCAACAGGCCAATGTCGCGGCCACCAACGATGATGGCTTCGCTGCGCTCCTCGGCGCTGCCGCTGTTTTTGGTTCTCCAGGCGGCCCATATTCCAACCAGCAGGATTAGAAGGTAGAACACGATGATCGCCACGAGTCCTTCCACATGGAAAGCCATTTTGCGCCTAACGATCCGGATTCCCCCACAGCTGGCTACTTCATTAAGACGTCTGAAGAGGACACAGCGACGCATTATACACCAGCTAAGCCCGGGGCCGGCGGAGGCAGCTGGGAACAAACCGCCTCTGCTCCTTCAGGAAAGCGTGCAGCGTGGACGTCGCCCGGGAAACCCGCGGTCACCCCCGAGTGCCCACCCCACCGCCTTCTTGTATGTGACCATTTAACACTGTTTGGGGTTTTCTAGAAACAGAACAAAAAGTTGGGACATTTACTTTAAGAGATGCAATGAGAACCATTCGGGGTTCAGCAAACTCCATTCAAAGCCACCCTTGGGCATTTCAGATCGGCGCCTGTCCCGTCATTCCCAAAGAGCCGGGCTGCCCTTGGCCTTTGGAGCTAAGTTCACCGGCCTGGGATGCCTTAGCAAGGCAGCTGTATCCTAAAGGGGTGCTCTGGAAATGGCGAGATGTTCTTGGGTTGGCTCGTTCTCCCACCCGTCCTTCCACACAGCTTCAGGCCACGGCTCCGAAGTAACCCGACGTGAGGCCAACCGAAGAGAAATCGCCATCCACATCCACTCCCTTTGGAGACCGGACTCCAGGCTTCCAACAAGTGCCAGGGACGGCCGCGAAGCCCGTTTGAGCCGCTTGCGGGCTCCACCCTCCCCGCCTCGCTCGCCCATTGTCCCCCGCGCCTCCCCGCACCCTTCGCGGTCTGGACGAGACGAGGGCGTA